TTAGCAGCTGCCAGACCTTAATCAACTTTCTCCAATGGTTTTTCCAGCAGCCTTCCCTGATGCACAGGATCAGGTTTGGCATTTAATCCGACTGGTAAAATATATCTAGATTTAATGTCTACAATGACATTTTCCTTGTTGAATGTCGTATTATTACTTCTAAGCTACTTCACAATTTTGCTGGCCAAAAGACCAGGCTTTTTTTTTTTTTTTCCCCCCAAGATATTTACAAGAATAGCCCTTCAGGAAGGGTGCTATGATTATGTTTACTTCCACATTGCTAGGCTTAGCTGATACAAAAATACCTTCTGGATTTATACACCATTTATTCTTTGAATAATTATTTTGCATGCAAGAATAAATTTAAAAATAAAATCTATGTGTCAGAAAGGGTAAGAGAAGGAATAGCCAACATCCTTACAATCTTTTGTCTTGAAAAGTCAACACATCAGATGCCTGAAGAGAGAAATTTCAAGTGTGTCATCCTGGTTTTTCTTGTTCTTAGAACTGACAGAAATAAATACTGGCAAACACACTACATTTTTTATTTCCTAATCTTCAGTTTTGCCTTTAAATGACCTAGGATCACAGAACAAGTTATAGTGAATTAGTATCATGCTGACGAGTTTCCAGCTATTTCTGCACAGGTATAATCTTTCTTCACTGGAAAAGTTCTTACATAGTACAGTGAAAATACACCTCCTTTAGTGTTTATATTCAGATCAGGTATGTGCTTTTGAAGCACAATTCCCAAATGTCCCCTGTTACTGTGCTTTGGTGCACACTTCCAAAACGTTTTGGACTGCATGACCTGGATTCCTTTTGGAAAAAAATTAAATCAGAAGGTTTAATGCATTCCAGGAAGTGTTATTGTGCATTCAGTCCACCGGAACAGACTTCTCATAATCTGCAGTAAAATCCTTGAGACATGTACAAGATAAACATCAGGTCCTCAGCACCAACGGCTTCACTTTACATACCTACTCCTGCATTGTACTACTTGTTAACATACACATAGTCTCTGATTTCCAGAATGAAGAATTAGACCACGACTACCCTGAGCGCCAGAGAGGTGCTACAGTGTGACTGTGTGCATTCCCTTCAAAAAAGACTTACACATGAATAGCTCAGGATTTTCAGTTCAGCTTACATTGCTCTTGATTAAAGATCAGAAAGGCTCAAAGCTGGAAATTCAACTATCAGTACTACATACAAATATGTTAGGCTATCAACCTTGTAAAGTAAACCATCTTAATATCCATAACCCTTAATCACCTCTACAAAACAGAGTAAAGAGAGAATCTGACTCATTTGAGCAAAAGTACTGGAGAATTCCCACCTTTTTCTCCTGCAAGTAGCATGTACCTGCTTGAGAATGAAATGGTAGGAAAGAGGAAAAGAGAGAACACCTCAGGCAGTAACGACAGACCTGCCTGGTCTTCAAGTACATGGCAGAAACTGTCACGAGTTCTGCATCTCAGTGCACAGATTTCAGCTTTACTAGCATCCCTGTGTTCAGAGAAACCACAAGGCAGGTGATCTTGATGTTACAAAACTACTACATAACCTACATACCAAACAGCTGTTTTCTCTACTAAAACAGAGGGGAGGGTGGTGTTTGTTTCCGGGATAGTATTTTTCTAGATTTTTCTTTTTTCCTCTCAACACACTACTAAGTTAAAAATCATGCATAAACACCACCAAACACACAAGGATCAATTATTTAAGTTCTTCAATGTCTCTTAATGAGTTCCTGAATGTCAACCACTACATTCCTGACAAGCATCAACCTACTACAAACATTAAATAAATCTTCATATTCTTGTCAAGCACACCGGTGCTCTTGTAAATAATGACCTCTTTTCAATTTACCTCTCAGTATTTTCTCTCTCCCTCTTCCTTCTTATTCCTTCCAAATACCCAAACTTCCTTTACCACTCTGCCCTCTTTCACTTATGTCTGAATCACACCACCTAAAATACGTATTTATTGCCCCATACCTGTACTAATATTTACTCATCTGAACAATATAACCACAGTTTATTAGCCTACAGTACTGCATGGATAATGTTCTGCAGAAGAACAGACTCAGCATAAACACTCCTCTGACTTTAGAATCCGTGAAAGTTCATAAAAAGCCTTGCTTTCTGCTCTATTGTTTTTATTAATACTACTAGTCAACTTATTTTTCCTCCTAGAGACACTAAAATTTTTAGCTCTCCAGTTCTATTTCGATATTGAATAAGGTGTTGAAGTGTGAGGAAGAGGGAAACTTGGGAGAAGCAAGGTTATAGTAACAGACTTCAGTTTTCAAAATGAGCTAGTAACGTTAACGTTATCAATACTGATTCCTCTCACCCCAAAGTAAAAAATATTTATTTGGGGATAAATTAATATATAATGTCATTCATATACAAATGACCTTCACTGTGAAGCTTCAGAATAGGAGTAGGAAATAAATGGCATGACAGCAAAAAGAATCTAAACCCCTGTCCTCGTTTTGGCTGGGATAGAGTTAATTTTCTTCCTAGCAGCTGGCATAGTGCTGTGTTTTGGATTTAGGATGAGAAGAATGCTGATAAAACACTGATGGTTTAGTTGTTGCTGAGTACTGCTTATGCCAGTCAAGGACTTTTCAGCTTCCCATGCTCTGCCAGGTGCACAAGAAACTGGGAGGGGGCACAGCCAGGCCAGCTGACCCAACCTGCCCAAAGGGCTATTCCATACCATATGGCATCATGCTCAGTATATAAGCTGCGGGGACTTGGCCGGGGAGCAGCGATCGCTGCTCGGGGACTGGCTGGGTATCGGTCAGCGGGTGGTGAGCAATTGCATTGTGCATCACTTGCTTTGTATATTATTATTACTATTATATTGTTATTACCACGACTACTATTTTATTTTGTTTCAATTATTAAACTGTTCTTGTCCCAACCCAGGAGTTTTTCTCACTCTCACTCTTCCAATTCTCTTCCCCATCCCACCAGGGCAGGGGGAGTGAGTAAGCAGCTGCGTGGTGCTTAGTTGCTGGCTGGGGTTAAACCATGACAACCCCAAACCAAGGTCTAAAAAAACTCACGCTGTGCCTGCATATTTTAATCCTCTAGTATAACTGTAAAGATTTCCAGTAGTCTGCTTAGCACACTCACACACAAAAAAGAAAAACTGAAGTATGACCTGTTCAGATCTAGATGATCATGACATCTCAGACAAGAAAGTACACTCGGCTAAGGAGCAACTGTAAGTTTTCCATTCAGTGCAATTAAAAATCTCTACTTTGAAATCACTTTTTTTTTTCAGTTGGTAACCTAATATAATCAGAGTGCTTTATTATCTGCACTGTGCAGGGAATCAGGACTGATGTATACAACTATCAAAAAATATACAATTATCCAGAAAAAATGCACAGCTTTCCTCCACTGAAGTACCTGCATTTTCTAAGACTGTAGAATATGCAATCCTGCTGTAAATAACTGCTATCAGTTAATTTACAGCTTTTAAGCAGTGAAGACAATGTTTGTAAAGTTCTCTAACCTCACAAGCATGCATTTTGGAAGAAAACATCACTTGGTGTAACTCACTACAGTCAATGCAGATATATCATTACAGGCTCTAAAGGCCTATTCTTTCCCCCCACCCCCCCCTTCCCAAAAATCGGGGGGGGGGGGTGTTGTTTTTACTCAAACTGTATGACAAATCAGGAAAAAATTAAAATTGGCACTATTTCAGAGCTGGTCTTGTTTAGCGCTCCTCCCACTCACAGCCATGTAGAACATATATGGTAATGAAATTTCTCCTGGTGCAAAAACAGTAATATGGGACAGTAACAACAGAAAAAGATTTTATAGCACTTCTGAAACTGATTTAACAGCTGCAAAGAAGGAGAAACAACAAACAAGATGGGACTATCCTGTTCCCAGTGAACCACCAGGAAGCACTGCACAAACCACCAATAACTTCTAAAGTTTGGGTACACGAGCTAAAACTTTATCTAGGACCTCCAGTTAATACCTTCAAGACTTAAGCAGAATGGTAGAAAACTAAACAAACAGTTTTGATCTTATCTTTACTTATTTAGAAAGCTAGTCTGTGCAGAGATTTGCATATGGAGACTACTAACTTAACTATCACCCTCTCTATTTCCTAGAGATAAATTTCTCAGTTTGGCCTCAAGGCTGCCTTGACTTCTGTAAGCAGTAACAGCTCCCAAGGGATTACTAGTAAAAGCTACAGTTTACTTCTAACTTTTTGGGTTTTTATGGTGGATGGGGAGGCCAGAGGCAGGTAGTATACGGAATGCTAGACCAGCTTAACTTCACCTGGAAATCTCACTTTACTAAGGGAATTCACATCTGGCTGTTTGAAGACAGCTCACCAACTCTTTGGTGACTGAGTGGGGCCAAGATCTCGCCTTCGTCCGCCAGTAAATATACATACATGACAAGACCTTTCCCTAAAACAGGAAACCTTTGTGCTAACTCAGACTCAAGGTTCAAAAATAATCTTGGAGACATCTGCAATTTGCCCTTTATTTTGCCTTCAGTTAAATAAAAGTTAAATAAAGTCATTTTGCAGCTTAATATTTGTCATCAGTTAGTAAAGTACAGTCTCCACAAAAGCTCACAGTGACTGGATTTTAGGAGACAGTAAGAATCAAAGCATTGGATATTGAAGTTGCAAGAATAGCGAAGCTTTTACAGTTTACTCAGTAAACAATCATGAACGTTAATTTATACCTATAAATTACCACAGGTTAAAGGAAGAAGTTAGTACTGCTATTATTTCAATATATAATAAATCAAACACAGAAAAAAATAGGTCAGTGAGCCATACTTAGAATTTAACAGTTAATGAGTTAAATCTTTGCATCTTATTTTGATAAATATTAAATATCTTGGTTGGATTAGCCTAATCTCTAAACAAACAGTAATTATTTACTTCTTGCCACATGTGACTCATAGCCAATCCTCAAGTAACCTTAAAAACTAAGCTACACTTACCCTTGTGTGGGTGCGAATATGCATCTTCAATCCATCGTTCTTGCTGAAAGCTTTGTCACAGTAAGGACACTGGTAAGGACGCTCACCTGAAAACAAGAAAAGCATTAGAATCCATAAATATGGCCTCAGTAGATGAAGGCCTTGCAGCACAGTTATTTGTCAAATGAAAGTACTTTTTTTCTGGCCTTTTCTTCACACTCAGTTGAAACAAGAGGAGATCTAAGAATTAGGAAAGTTACAAATAAAGGTCCATCTGAGCAGGATGCAGGGCTAGATCAAAATACTACTCTTTGCTGCTTGATTTTGTTCTAGCAATATATCACATAGAGAGCCTTGGGGAAAAAAAAGATGAAATGAAAAAGGCAAAAAAAAAAAAGAAAACACCTACTACCCTTTCCCAAACCACATTCTATAGTGACACATACATATGGTCACTTTTACAGTTAGGCATTAACTGCTCCCAAATATTTCTTATATTTCACATCTGGTCATTTTTAGAGCCCTCTGGGTGTCAGAATCCCAATGAAATATAAAATCTACTCTTTTTTTAATGCTGTCTCTGAACTAACTGTTAGAAGTTAGTTAATCAAAAGTTTCTGCAACTTTTGTGTTGCAATTTATGACTGAAATGGAAGCAGAAGGATCTTAGCATCTCCTTTGCAGCATCCCATATCTTAAAGGTATTTAGTTTAATGCTCCATTAAACTGGTGTCATTTAGCATCGATTTTCCCAAGCTCACATTAATGTAATGTGGATACTGAGCTATTCAGAATCTGAGTGAAGAGTTTCTAAGCTAGCTCCATAATTTGGAAGAAGTGATAAAGCTTTATAATTCCCCAAGGGCATTTTAATTTTTGCCTCCTCTTTCTGTACACAATGCTTTAAGAGGAGATATCAGCTTGTTTCTAGTACAAAACCACAGTTCAACAATTAAGATACAGTAACTGTTTTTCTATTAACAAGGTGGAATTGTTTCTACACAATCATAATGCCGAAGTTGTAACAAACCTTTACTGAATACAAGTTAAGCAAAGCCTATTCTAAGTCAATGCACAGCTTTCCACTCATGAAAGAATCTTTGCATGTATAGAGAGATTTAACATAGTCCAAATGTCAAACACTTATTAACAGTCATACTCAATCCTGGAAAACAGGTAAGTAAGATTAACCACATCTTACAGTTTAAAAAAAAAAAAAGAAAAAAACAAACAAAGAAAGCAGACATATTTCACTGATATGCCAAAGATCAGAGTATAAGAGAGTGGCAATAAAAGAGATAAGCATTTAAAGTTCCGGGGTCCCTAGTAATAGGGATATTCATCTTGATTTGGAGAAAGGAAGCCTCATCCCTCTTCTCATCTTTTCTCCACATGAGGTGTTCCTCCATGATGGCTCAGAGGGAACATACTGTATGTTTTCTTTCTTGGGAACAAGATGTCAAAGGATCACAAAAAGTATGTAATGGAGACAGCTTACAGAAACGGCTCTCCAGAAGGACTGACTGTGAATACAGTACAGCTGATCAACTGATAGTCACTGTTGTACATAAAATCTCCATAGAGTCACAGGGTGTATAGAGATTTGAGGGCATCTGAGATTAGATGATTTAAGTAAGGGCATTAAAAAAAAAAAACTATTTAGTAGATAGGCTATTCTGTCCTTTTCTGTCTTTTATTACTGTTTAGATAACTGTTAATGACAGCAGCAAAAAACTGTGTAGCAAAGTACTTGTGAAATACAAGTATTTTTCTCTCTTGTACTCTGCCATCTCTCAGAAAGCACAATTGTGTGAACTTGGCTTTTTTTTTTTTTTAGGATGATGACAACAATCACTGTGTTATAGCTGTGTTTTCATTGAGCAGTTTGAAATACGATACTCTCTCTCATGACCCTCAGTGTCTTTAATCCATGCCTCTGAAATTCAAACACTCCAACAGTTGTCAGTACTCAAATATTTAATTAATTCAACCGACATTTTTATGTTTTAGGGCATTTGAATGTGGAATTTAAAGCTTTCAGCAGTTTGTAAGCAGATGAGCGTTGACAGGTAGGAGTGGTACCCCTCCTCCCTCTCTCCCCCCATCCTCGAGTCTCTTTAAAGAGGGAAAGACTTTTGCTTTCAAAGGATGGTTTTGAGTTTGTCTGAAATGGGTTAACAGCGTCCTTCAGAAATTAACCATGGAGACCATGATATTGATGAGTAAGGCCTTAAGAGCTTTCAGCAGATGCCAGTAGAGGGCAACAGTATGACTTCATATCAACGTGTTACACCTGAAAAATACTGGCTTTGAGCAGCTGTTACGTACTGTAACTTTTCAAAAGTCTCCGCTGTTCCAAAAAATCAAGTTTACTATGTAACACAGACTGTGAGCTCTGACTTGACATTGATGCTTGGTGACATCCTATTTTTCTCAATTATATAAACAACTTCTCATGCACTTGTGTCATTAATAATTGTCAGTAAAACAACTTAAAAGATGACCCCAAGTAATTTTACTGTTGCTCTGATTTTTTATGTTATTTTCTTTTGCCTAATCTTTGTAGCCTGTATGCCCAAAATATATAGAGTGCCCTTGCTCTTACATAAGCAACTGTTTCTCCTGTGCATTCACATCTTTTAAATGTGCAACTTATCTTCTACCTCAAAGAGTTTTAGGATTTTACAAAATTAACTGTGGGCCACGTAAAACAAATCTGTGCTTGCAACAACAAAGTTGCTTAGAACAAATTTCTTAGTCTCCCTGTAACCAGTCCAAAGACGAGATTGTGCTGCTGTGTAGGAAATATATGGATATTTGTAATTGTTTTCAATAAAAAAACCCTTGTATTTTAAAATCATTTGATCTGCAAGCAAGAGTAAGATTCCCCTCATTTGATATCAGCCATGTGAAAATACAATGTCTAATTTTAACTAGTTGTTCTAAATCCCAGTGAAATTAAGGATAAAAGAAAGTTAGGATGACTTGCTCTCTGGAAGGGGCCTAACTTTGTTGCCCGAGAACTGAATGAACTGCCCTCAGTCAATACATCTTTTTCTCCATTTACTGTAGCAGGAGCCTAGGCAACTAATTCAGATTAGATGTCTGAACTTATGGACAGCAGGTTTTGGCAAGATTACTACAATCCTACTTATTAACTTCACTATCTCTGATAAAAATTAACTTCTCCCCTTGCTTCAGAACTAGACTAGGCAAACATTATTCATGCTACCAGTCAGTTGCTTGTAAAAATGATCCCAATAACAGATTCATCAACGAGATTACTGGGAAAGCAGGTGTTCCCCAAGAGAAGTCTTACACAGTCTATCCCACTTTAAGTCCTGTAAGATAAACAGGAGCAGTGTATCCTTTCTGTAATACTGTGAGATGCAAATAGCACAAGATGATAACAGAGAAAAAACAGATTTGAAATAATGAATGCTAAATATATTCCTCCCACACATGAAAATTTGCTGAAGTGCAATGTTTCATACAGAACTATTGCAAGTGTCCACGAATGAGAGGGTTTTGTGCTTTGACAAAGTTTAGAATTGTCACTAAGAAAAACCGGAGAGCAAGCGTGATGCGATAAAAGCTCCTGGGAAGGTCACATTATCCATCAGTGCTTTCACACTTGTCTGCAATCAAGTCAAGACCACTGAAAATCAATTATAAGCATTAGAATATTAAACCAAGCTTCAGATCAGCTCACACACAATAAATACTTGGAGATTTCCAGATGTAAAACTTCTCTGGTCAGTAAAGGAATGGATCTGCTAGGAGGAGATTAAAAGTAAGAATGACTAAGATGAGCAAATGAAATGGTGTTGCAAGTCATGTATCTCTATCTACTTCTCTTGTCCTCACAAAAAGGAGTTACTAAGCCTCAAAATGAAAGCAAGCTATTTCCCCTATGACAAACTACAACTTCTTGGATTTGCTGCTAGAAGCATGCTTATGAGATATGGTGTCAATGTGTGATAACACCATACTAAGAGGGGGTGCACCTTAGGTAAAGTGTTGATGCCGATTAACAATTATGCCATTTGCACTCCGCATTTTTATATAAATACATTTTTACATACAAAGATATATAAAATATAGAAATGTCTTTATGTTCAGAGGCAATGATAAATCCTTACCAGGGGTATCATACTGAAGTAAATCAGTGCACCTTTTTTTGCTATAATGCCTTTTCGTTGCAGTCAATAGTAGAGTAAGTGTTCAAAGGTATTATTTCACAAAGTGAGGGTCGTTGGTTGAGGTTTTTTCAAAATTTGTTTTATATAAAAGAATATGGATAATGTGAGGGAAAAGTCTTTTAACTTCCAAATACACTACCAAGCCTTAACCCTAACACTTTGCATTTGGAAAATATCTGAAAAAAGGCCTGACCTTCTATGTTATTGTTCGCAACTCTGCCATTAAACGACAACGGAGACTATGATCTGCACTTTTCACTAAAACATTTCACCAGGCTTTCTACTTTAGTACAGTATCAAAATCCAGTAGGCATATTAAATACATCTTAATTTGACAGCTTGTCCAGTCAACATGCCCAGAAGTAACGTTGTGAATGCAACAATAACTAAGAACAATTGCTATCATTAAAATATCAAAACATTAAAGTAAGACAGACATAATAAATGCTATGTTTACCCTCGAGTTACAGCTGACTGTCATGTCCCTGCTGTTCAAGAACAAACTGCTCAACACATTAATGGCACTTCTGTACAAATAACCCCAAATAAATAATCCTTGGATAAATTGCAGTGGATTTAATATAATTCAAAGTCTAGACATTCTACTTCCAGATTTTGTATGAATAAAAACAAAGCTTTTAACATAATAACAAAAAAATTTAACCCTAATACAAGGATTACAAAAACCAATTCCATGATTGAAAACCATATGGGATTTTGATCTGAAAACATGTCATGATAGAATTGGTATCTTTTTATCTCAAGCGTGTACATCTCTAGCTTGAGATCACAATACCTACTGGACCTTAATGTAGCATAAAAAGTTAAACACCAGATTCTTCCATTCCAGTTCAACTGAGGATGGACAGTTTCCTATGAGACATTTGCAATCAAAGGTGCCGTAA